TTTATTATGTCTCTGAAAAGCGATTGTGCTGAAGCATAGTCTCGCCACTCAAACACATCTGCAATTTGAGTCCCACTACTAGTATTTTTCCTGATACGTTTAAAATTTTAAGTCAGACAAGTTAGTGTTTAAGTCAAACTACAGGCCAATTTCATTTTTATCCACGATGTCTAAAGTACTTGAGAAAATCTTAAATTCAAGACTTATCAAATATTTGGAATCCCGTAAACGTTTTATCTGTTAATCAATTTTGTTTCCGAAAGAAATTATCCACTGATGATACTGTATACAAATAAGGAAATCATATTGTTATTAAACTTGATAATAAGCAAACATGCGTCACCCTGTTTTCAGACATTGCTTAACTTTTGACACAATTTTGATGTCTGTCTTGATTCCTAAGCTTCACTAGCCTGGGAATAAGAGGCAGCCAGCTATGCCTATTAAACAGTTATCTTACAAATAGAGTTGAGTGTGTGAAAATTAGCTCATACCTGAGTACCCTCAACCTATTACATTACATATGGTGTACCTCAGGGTAGTATACTTGGTCCGACCCTATTTTGGTGTATATTTACGACTTTAATAATCTATGTCTACAAGGTGGTTCCATATTTACTTATGCTGATGATACAGCACTTGTTTTTCGGCCAGTACTTGGAGTGAGACATACCAACGAGCGCAAAAAGAATTTGATACTATTAAAAAATGGCTCAGTATCAAATACTGTTAGATAATAGGTCAATAACCATCTACTAACACTAAATTTCACCAAAACTAAAGTACAAATTTTTTTTATACGAAATATTTCTCAATCATTAGCAAATTCATTTAATATAATAGTTAATAAATCATCACAGACTATCAACACTTCAACCGACAATGTGTATGTATTATTTAGAAAAAGTTACTTCTACTAAGTATCTTGTCATTATAATTGACAGTAATTTAACATTTGAAGACTATATTGAACACTCATCTGCTAGAATACGAAAGTTAATTTAGTTTTTTAAAGACTTACTATGTCATGTGCCAATCGGTACTAGGCTATTACAGGTACAGGTAAAGTAGTCCCAAACTTCTAACGTGTGGCGTTCCTCAGGGTTCTATACTCGGTCCATTGCTATTCCTTGTGTACATAAATAACATACACCAAGCAGGCTTACAAGGTCAAACATCCCTTTACGCAGATGATACGTGTTTATTCTATTTTGGACACAATATCGATCATATCATAACACTAGCTCAAGGAGACTTAAGCTTACTGCATCAATGGTTTCAGTATAATCTCTTAACTATCAATATAGCCAAGACCTCATATATAGTTTTCAGCGCCAAGAACAAAAAACTCCCTAACCACCTCACTTTGTCAATAAACGGAGAAATGTTACAAAGAAAAAATCAAGAAAAATACCTTGGATTGATTCTCGACAGTAATTTAACTTGGAATGCACATCTTACACACATTAAAAATAAACTTTCCTCTCTCGTTGGCCGCCTGCACAAAATAGTCCGTTGTATTCCGAAAAAAGCCCGAATCCTAATATATAATGCTTTAGTAAAACCTCAATTACTTTACCTTGTAGAGGTTTGGGGCAATGCCGCTAAAACCAATCTCAAACCTATCCAAGTGCTACAAAATCGTATCATAAAAATTTTTTATAACTATGACTTTTTGACACCAACTAAAATAATATATAAAGAAACTAAACTTTTGAACGTTACTCAGCTTTATACATATAGCACATGCATACTAATATACAAAATAAAACATAAATTAATTCACTCAGAACTCACATTTTTAACAAAGAAGCAAACAAACAAATACATAACACGCCGAGCTAGTCACTTTGTTTTGCCGTTTATAAGAACAAACTATGGTAAAAATAATATAACGTATAAGGGAGCACAGTTATACAACAAATTACCTAAATTTGTAAAGGAGGTGAAATCTTTGAATGCTTTCAAACAGAAGTTACTTGCCTACCTATGCTCACAACAGCTAAGTACTTAATCAACATCATTTTCAAATAAAAGCGAAACACATTATTTAACTTGGACCTTACAATTCGAGTAAGCAACAAAGATATTCGCTTCTTAAAAATGCCATCCAACAGAGTTTTATATATACCCGCACTACAAATTTTTATTACTATGTTTATTTAATTATTGTTCTCATGTAAGTGACGATTGTCTTATTGAGAAATAAAGATCTTTAAACCGAAAACAGTCTTTATGCTAATTGAACGTGCCCAGAGAGCTTTGATAAAGATATGTTGTTTTAAACCTCGCTTATATTCTACAGAATTACTCTATGAGCATTACCAAGTATTGACTGTACGGCAACTTTTTATATTGTATACACCTCTTAAACAGCAATCTTTAACTAAATATAATAGGAACGCTGCATGATGCAATCATCTTGTCGCCAAAACGATGCCTCTTAATACCCATTCCAGCCCTAGATCGTTTGTATTCCTTGGACCTAACCTTTATAATAAATTGCATCAGAAATTATTCCTACACTCATTAAATCACTTTAAATTGAAATGTAGTCTGAAAAAATGGAAATATTTGATTTCACAATCTTCAGGAGTACATAAAACCGAGTTACACAAAGAAAGATCTTCAAGGTTTCTTTAAAAAATCACTTAAACCAGCGTTTTTTTAGTCGTGTCGAGAGGTATTGTGTACCACTCTGAAAAGTAGCGCTCGGGTGTAAATATATGCAGCTATATAAAAACAAGTCAAGATCATTATATGATTAGTATTTTTCAGTATTTTAAGTGATATATGATTATCCTGGCTATCTAGATAATACACGTTAGTTCTGGGTTAAGGTTATTTTAGATTTGTGTGTTGATAAAGTAATTAGTGTATAGTATTTCGGGTTGTAATATTGAAATTGTGTTATAATAATATAGTTAATAATAATATAATAAAGTTAAGGCAGAGTTATACTGAGCTAAGAATTTTATTTGAAATTAATAATGAAAAATTAACGAAAATAATAATATGATAAAAATTTGCATAATATTGAGCCAAACCTAGTCTCATTTCTTCTTAGGGATCATTAAGTCATTCTCATTCATCTGAGGGCCGCCTTTAAATGTCATATGTAATGTAGTATTCGTAATCCAAAATTTAGGCATTTTCGCGAATTAGAGCAAATAGTTTTCGATCTTTATTTGACAAGCTCTCAGTAATATTGAAGATCATGGCAAACCGATGGTTGTTGTGAATAGCTTATTCTTAAGGTTTTGTGTGTTTAATTCTTGGCTCCATCCAAAATTTTGTTTTTTAACAAGACCTAGGTAAATTCTGTCACAACTGTGGATACTCCTGATTTATTCTTGATTTTATAATAATAATAATAATAAATCGATAACAAATGTGATCCATGTCAGAGAAATTGGAAAAATCACAAAATAATAATAATAATACGGCAGACGGAGGAAGTAAAATGATACGCACGCATGCACGAATTCACGCATGCACATACGCACGCAAGCGTACACACACACACACACACACACACACACACACACACACACACATATACACACACACACAAGCGCGCGCGCACGCAAGCACGCACGCAGCCATACATACATACAGACACACAGGTAAGTAAACAATGCAGAACGTTAATAATTTGCCTTATTATAGGACAGTCATGTTTTTGTGCTATAATACCCAGGATACTGTTGGCGCTATTCGCTATTTTATAAACATCCTGAATTTCGGATACCTAGGTATCAACTTTTAAAGTTTCACTTACTTGTTGAACTAATTTGCATAGATCTTGGTGTGTCTCCGAATGAAATTGTTTGGACGCAGCAGGTAAGTTACGGAACTCAATTACTGTGCACTTAAGCTTTCTTTCTAGAACTTCAATTTTATTTTCTAATGAGGCAATATAATGTATGCTATCTTCTTGTACCTGTTCCAAATTATGAAGTTGAGGTTTTAAGTCTTCATATTATTTAGGCAAAAACTCCAATGCCTTCTCCTTTTCAGTGTTTGTTTTTTGAATTTTGTTATTTTGCTGTTTCATCTCCTTAATATCTGAACACATTTTTTTCAAAGTTAGATCTTGTTCCTATTTTCAACTAGAGAGTATGGATAGAAGTTATTCTTTGAGAGATGTTTCATAAACATCATTTCAAAGGTTTTTCTATCTTTTTCCCCCGAGACTTCTTTATTGGTTCTTCCGGATCTAGGTTGCATATATCATTTTCTAAATATACTTGGTGAACTTTGTTACCTGGAGGTGTTCCCTGTTATTTAAATATATATTAGGAGATAGGCGGATTTGACAATATATTGTAGCACAGTACGATAATTATAAACTTTAAAATTTTATTAAATAAATAAAATTTTCCCAAGAAAAATTTGCTAATTACGTGTGACAGCTAATCAATATGATGCAGTCATACTTGTGAACAGGTGCTGATTGTGGGGGCTGTTCTGCTCAGTTCTCGGCTGGTTCGTTATATTCATATAAGCTCCAAATTATTACTTATGTTCGTCATATATCGATGGACCTATTATCGTTTTCAATTTCGTATAATATACTATATGTAATATTGACTTTAAAGTAAAATGACATAAAAATATGATGAACATCTACAGAGTTTCTTACACCAGTTTCCCTCCGGTCACAGGACCTCATATCGACACAAATTTAATAAATTTAAAAAGGTTTATTTGACAAAAGAAATTTTGATTTTCTTACGTAGAAGGTATTTATATATTTTTCGTAGAATATATTTATATATACTACGTAAAAGATATTTATTTATATTCGTATCTCATTTGTATAGCGCTAAATAAATTTGCAGTTCACTCATGCCGGCAGTTTACTCCAATGATAAGTGGCTATCGATTGCTTCTGATTTATGTGTTTAATTGACTTGCGTCTTTGCCTTGGCTTGAGTGCCGTATCTAAAATTATATTAGTAATAGCTGTTGAATCAAAGACACGAATTCAGTGCAAAATGATTGTGGAAATTTTAGTATTCATTGTGATGACTTTAATTGTGTATTACACTTATATACATAAACGAATGCACAAATATTTTCTAGATAGAGATTTAAAGTATAATCCAGGTATACCTCTTTTCGGTAACGTATTCCAAAGTACATTTCTTAAGAGGCATATGGTAGAAGATATTGATGCTGTTTATAGGGAATTTCCAAATGAAAAGTAAGTAATAAGTTTTCTAAACAATTATTGTTTATTTAATTTTCTGACTACTTAATCGGTCAAAGTACGTAGCAACATTTACATCCATTATTTGTGACAGTTATGCTATTATTGAATGCGGAGAACTAAATAATATTTGTCGCGTTAGTTAATATGCTATTCTACAGGCTATTTACTATTTAGTTCATTTTGTGTGAATGAAAGCATAAAGGAATTAAGTGGTTCAATCAGACCAACATACACATTTTGAAAATTAACAGCGGAACAATGATGATGAACATAAATCAACCGGGCATTCAAATTTTAATTAGTAAGAGAATACGAAAACGTTGTGCTCCTGTCAAATTTAAAATAAGTTTAATAATTTAATACTTTAATAAATATCGTCAGTTATTTATATTATTTACAATGTATTTACTTTAATACATTTTAGGCCATTAAAGAGTTGGTAGCTGGATTTAATTTTCCATCATTGTAACAATTAAGATAAACCACGAAAGATATTTAAATAAAATAATTGTATTAGGATAAGGTGATGCCAAGCAATTTATATTTGTTATTGATCCAATTTAGGTGTTCTTACTTGTTTTAAACATCACTAAACTTTGATGACCAGTATTTTTCTTCGTTTTAGAGCTTATACAAATATACCTTCTAACTGTCACGTAATTTAATATTTTAAATTTACTTTGAAATTTTTATGAATCTTTTAGTTTCTGTTTTATAATGAAAAAGAATATTTTTCATATTATAAATTATTTTATTTTAAATATTGAATACGCATAAAAGTTTTGTGTTTATAGAAAATAGTGTCTTTAAAAGCATAATTTTGCGCAGACTTAAAAAATGTCTCTAATTATTAAGATCTTAATAAACTTAAGTGCATATATTTGTATGTATGAGAACTGCGACATAACATAACACATACCTAATCTAGATTATTCAAAAGGATAAGCAGGCTACGGCGGCAAATTCGTCTGAAACACAACAAAGCCTAAATCGCACTATCAAAGTTCCAAATTACAGCATTATATGCGGATCTCCCCTTTTTTTCGACGACCAAATATCTAACAGTCCATCTGATGCTAAGAAAGCAATAATTTTAAAAGAAAGAAGATCAAAGATAGCGTTATTCTCCCTAGGAGCTGATATAAAATTGCCACACATCCTATTATTACGCTATTTCGCTTATCATTTAAGAATGGGTTTTCAGTTTTAGCTCTGTTGGTGGTCTGGGTATTTAAGGTTATAAAATCTTTCAAGGAGGGAAAAAAGATTGATTTTTAACTATGAATGAATCAGAAAATTGATGAACGAACCGATTTATACAAAACTAGCACTAAAGTTACACGCGATGCGCGAAAACATTGAAACAAATCAGTGCCGAAAGAGATTTTTTTACACTACATAATAAATAGCGCTTATTCGTCATAGTAGACAGAAAAAATGTGGCACGGTTGCTTTTTAATACAGATCGCAAAACGTGTGTCATCTGTTTAGATCTATGTCTGTGGTTTCTCTAATTCCACCACCTCAATGGGACGTCGATGACAAACATCAACTACAGTTCTTAGTTGCTGGTTACTTGAATGATGCAATGTTCCAAGAGTATATTATATTAATGTTTTATGTAATCTCAACTAAATCTTAGGTATGTGGGATATATCGAAGGCACCTCACCAATCATACTTATCAGAGATCCGGAAGTAATCAAGCATATTACGGTCAAAGATTTCGATCATTTTGTAAACCATAAAATGTTCTTCCCTGAAGATATTGAACCGATGTTTGGTGACAGCATCTTTATGATGAAAGGTATATACTATTTAATACTATAATGATATTTATATAATAATATGTCATGTTTATAACATAACAAAAATCACCAAAACCGAATTATATACTTGGATAGTAAACAACGCCCAGTACGTGGAACATCAGATACTAGGATTGCAAATTCACTTATCAAGCGTGACAGAAATAACAAATTATCAAATTAATTATTTAGAACTTAATGTCGAAATTTCCATAGCACAGGGACAGATGATGATGGAACTAAAAATGAAATAATATTTTTTTTTTATTTCAATTCATTTTTAGTTAAAATGCGTTTATTTTCATATAACATTAGAATCATGAGACTTGTTTACTTATAAAAGATAACACGTGAACTCGATGTACTTATAACACATAGCGTAGATAAATATTATTGTAATAATAAACATCATAAGGACTTCCTTATTATATAGCGCAGACCTTTTTTCATTTCCAAGAAGGTTTTGAAGCAGAAAAAGTCCATCGACTTTAAATATATTTTAATGAGTAAAATATGTAGGCTTTCCCAACATGATATGTTTCACCTAGGTGGTGGTAATATGACCTTTATAGCCTACTAGCTGTTCCCCGCGACTTCGCCGGAATATAGAAAAGTGTTGTTTTTAGACCTTTCCAGGCAATTTTTTAAATTTTTATCTCCGTAAGAACCATCTTCGTACTTCAAGGACTATTATAAAAAAAGAATTTGTGAAATCGGTTCAGTTGCTCTCGAGATTTGAGCTTAGCAACAAATTCAGCGATTCATTTTAATATTATAGATTAAAATCCACTGCTAAACGAAACGAAATGGATATTTGAGATAGTTCTTACGCTTGGAAAGCCGGTTGGCAACTGCAGTTTTTTTTATTCGTTATGACAAGGACGCTGCTACCAATCTACGGATTGATTTCCTTACGACAACCACGGGATGATAAGGGATAGTAGATACTCTTACACCGTCACTACTAGATTTAGGTGTTGGTTAATTAACAAAATTGCAATGAATATTTCGATTGGCATTGGCACTTACCAACACTATCGCGTAGTGTGTAATTTAAAAATGTTTATCCCGTGAGCTGATATGGATCTTATAACATTATAATTAATATTTCGTGAACTGTTTAATAACAAAAAATATTATAATGTCACCTTGTTTCTTTAACTACACTGTTTAAGAAAAGATGACAATATGGTAAGGAAATAAAAGGGTGCGTACTCGTTCCTGAATACTAACTTTAAAACTTGCCTGTCTCTTGATGCAATGTATAAAAAAATCATTTCATTTTATTTTACTTGTGGTAACACAAAAATTAATAAATTCAGATGACAAATGGCGGGATATGCTAACTATGCTTAGTCCGTCTTTCACAGGATCAAAAATACGCCAGATGATGCCGTTCATGACAGATATAAGCAAGAACGTTATACAATATTTGAAAGGTAAGTTAACTTGAATTTTTATGTACATCACTCTCCTTCGATTTGCCGATGATAAAGTCCTTATGGCAGAATCGCTGGAGGACCTAAGTACCAAACTCAATGACCTCAATAGTGCCTCCAAATGGATAGGTCTTAAGATAAACATGGACAAAATAAAGATCATGTGTAACGTCAATGTCACACCTATGCTGGTAGTGCTAAGCACAAAGTTGTTGATGAGTATGTTTACCTGGGACAAATGAATAAACTAGGTAAGTCCAACTTTAACCGAGAGGTCAATAAGAGATTCAACCCGGCTGGGTTGCGTTCGGGAGATTATGGCACATCTCACCGTCAGACATACCTAAAACCTGACAACAAGATCATAGAACCAGTGCGTGTTGCCAGTGAGGACCTATGGATCTGAGACGTAGTCCTTCACTGCTGGCCGTATGAGGTAGATCAAGTTTGCACAGTCAGCTGTGGAGAGGGTTGTCTCTGCGTGACTTAAAGACGAGGATACTTGCATTTAAAAAAGAGTAATCGACATAGCCCAACGGATTATTACCTGACGTGGCAATGGGCTGACCATATAGCTCGAAGAACCAACAACCGATGGGGAAAAAAGGTTCTCCAGTGGCAGTCTGATTCAGCAAGTGAAGTGTAGGGCGTTCCCCCACTGGATGGATTGACGACCTGCTATGACCTGCAGGAAGTAGATGGCTCAGGACCGTGCTTTGTGACATTTCTTGGGGGAGGTCTATGTTCAGCAGTGAACTTGTAAAGTGCTGTAATTGTGAAGTAAAAAATGGGTCGTATGGTGATGACGAAAGTACATACTGCCACATCTTTACCTATTGTCTGCAATATTGTCAGCAAAATCCCTTTGGAATATGCTTGGTACGAATAGTTTCAATAATTCATTCAATCACAGCATCAAATCAAAAATCCACAGCTGAATATATGCACACTATGGTTGCCCTATAGGGGGAGGGGGGGAATATTTGCCATAGTTATTTGAGTTATTATCATAAAGATGCTGCTGCCTATCTACTATTTCAGTTTTCGTGGTACGGGGTAGTGGATTTTATTACGCCCCCACTACACAGTAACGTATTGTATAAAAGGTCGTCTCATTCTGTAGTTACATATCCACGCGTTCAGCGTCAACCATAGGAGAGTTTCATGTACAGTACTGAACTATATACATTGTGATGAAAAAATTAAGACTTTTACGAGTCATAAATGAGTGAAAACGTAGTCTTTCTGCATTCAAAGCCAAATGTTTAACATAATTTTTTTCAAATCCATATTGTATTCTAATCTCGAAAAAGTCACGGATCATTGATTTTTAACTGTAAGTAAATTTTAAAGAAGTAATCAATGAAACAATAAACATATTCTTTATTGTCCATTTTATCACATTAAAACGAGACAAATTGAAACATATATTAGGTTTTTACCTACGAAATGGCCGTTTTTATGAAATAAGTTACGGTAATTTGACAATTTATGCCCATGAAATTCATGCTTCTTGGCTAACACAGTGGCTATTTATTAATGCCCTTTATGAAGAAATCAGCTGGACGGGAGGCAAAAAATTCTTCAAAGAGATTTTCGCCAAAAAATTATCCAAATTCTAGAAAAAGAAGTCTGTAGGCGCAGGGTCTGATGAGTACAGTTGATGATGGAGAACTTCCAACCTCAGCTCTTGTAACCTGGAAACCATCTATTGTGCACTATGAGGGCGCGAGTTGTCGTACAGAAGTAGTGGAGACGAGCGATTGACCAAAGATAGTTGGAGAAGTGCGAGCTTTTCCATCATTGCGTTCAATTCTTCACAGAACATCTGCAGTAAGTTTATTACGTTTGATAAGAAGCTGGGATGAATCAAACCGGCGCTAGACCACCAAACAATAACCGTCATTTTTAAGGGGTAAGTTTTCGTTTAGGGCAATGTTTAGGTGCTGATTCAGGATCCAACCAACTTGATGAGTTCTTGCGATTGTCAAACATAATCCATTTTTCTTCACAGGTAACAATACGGTTAAAAATTCCTTCGTTTATGTGCCTATTGAGCAGAGCAAGGCACGTGACTCATTTGTCAATTTTTTTACCTTGCCAATTTGAAGCAAATGAACAAATATTGTTTTAATGCTAACGTCAAAAGCTGCTGCTAATTCAGTTTAAGATTATCATCAGCTTTCACAATCGCCCTTAATTTGTCATTGTCAACTACAGTTTTCAAACGACAACCGGGCTCATTTTTTAGGTCGAATTTTCCAGAACGGAAGCGGGCAAACCAATAACAGGTGGTGCGTTTATTTCTAGTATTTGCTCCGTAATCGTCGTTAATGTTGCGTGCCGCTTGTGCCGCGTTGCTGCCACGATGGTATTCATATTCCATAATTACACGAATTTCGAACGTATCCATAATGACGAAAAAGATTTAAATATGGGATGAAAACATAACGCTGATCAATAAAGAATGACAAATTTTGAAAAAAGACTTCCATGTTTTGAAAATAAAATTAACCTATACAAATAAATAAAATTGAAGTGTCTGTTTGTAATGTCAAAGTTTCTTACTAATTGCATATGAAAGTTTATACGGTACAATAACAAAAACACAATTTCTAAAATTTTTGTCTGTCTGTCTGTCTGTCTGTTTGTTCTGGCTAATCTTCTGGTAGCTGATATCATAAGGAGTAACTTAGGCTACTTTTATATTAGAAAAAGAAAAGAATTAGGGTTCCGCGCAAAACATAAAAACCCTAACACGCGAACGAAGTCGCGGGGAACAGCTAGTTTGGAATAAGATTGCTCAGTCTAACAAAAAATATTTTGATTTGAAACGGCTACTACTGCAGAATGGTAATTTCATAAGTAAAGATCTATTATATAGAAAGTACAACAGTATTATCGCTCTGGAAGCGATTTCTAACATACAACCGTTTCCGTTAATAATTGTTGTTCATAGTGAATTGCAAATAGGGGAGGTGTACATAAATTAAAAAAAAGAAACTTAAAAAAAGGTAATGGTATTAAATTAATGATAATGTCCACCAGACCGAATTTCGGTCACGGTGGCCAGTCATCTGCGCAGTACAGGATTATAGTGTAAAGTGCATGCGCAAGCTCAGCCTGAGCTTGCGCATACACTTAGGAATCCTCACTCTCGTAGTCGGTTGGAACGGTAAACCGACACGTCTTGGATAGAGATCAGGCGCAGGACTTACGACAGCATATTATTGACCAGAGAATAAACTTTTAATTATAAGTAACCTTGAAGAAACGAGCCAACTCTTTTTAAAAGGCCGACTAAAGAATATCACAATCTCAATGTCGTAAAAACTTCGAATTTAAAAATTTCATCCCCTATTTACCCATGATGTACAATCTAATTACTTAAATATGAATCATCTAAATCAGTTTACAATGGACAGAGATATAGCGTTTAATTAACACGATATCTCTTTTTTTAAAGTCACCTCAAAATCAATTTCATACTAATAAACTCCTATTTTATTTTTTATTTATTTGTGGAAATGGAGTCAAACGAGCTTATGACTCACCTGATGGTAAGTGATCACCGTCGCCCATGCACATCATCAACACCAGGGGAATTCCAGATGCGTTGCCGGCCATTTAGAAAGAAGTAGGCTCTTTTTTTGAAGGTCCCTGGGTCACATTGATCGGAAAAAATCGCTGGCGACAGTAAATTACACAGTATGGTCAGGCGGGGTAGGAGATTCGGCGTAAATGACACAATAGTGGACCGCCAGAAATCAAGATAATTAGGATGGAAAAACAGTTGTAATTATTCCGAACAATTCCTCTGAGCACTACCCGGGTGTATGCGGTAGAAGATGCATAAATGCAAGTCTCTTGGCAAGGCCAGTGGACCAAGCCAATCGGAAAGAACTTGGTCGTCGATGATTTTCACCGTTCTCCGTTGTATACGGTCAAGTGGAAGGAGCTGATACTTCGGTGTTCCGGCCCAGTGATGAGAACAATATTCCATATGAGACCCAAACTGCACTTTGAAAAGCTGCAAGCTGTGCTCTGGCAAAAAATACGATCGATCTACTGATCAAACCAAGCTTTTTGATGCAAGTTTAGCCTTCCCTTCCAAGTAACTGCGGAACTGTACATCTCTTGAAATGTTGACGCCAAGAATTTTGATTCTGGCTGAGGCAACGAGGGGATTGCCCTGAAAGTGAGGAGATACGACATAAGGGATACTTGTTTGCGGTTAACGCGTAAACCTGTGTATTTTGAGGGTTAAGCTTGACTAGATTTAGTCGCCCCTAATCCGAGACTTTGTTCAACAAAGACTCGACTTCTTCACGAGAAATATTAGTACGGAGAGTATATAAAATTACCTAAATTAAAAATTAAAATACTATTTTACTTATTAATTTAATTAATTTCATAATTAAGTTAAATTGTTTATTTACTATTAAAATTTCTTTTTAAAATAGATACATATGTAGGTATTATTTAATTCTTCAATATATCTAAAGAAACAAATAACGAACTGAAATAATGAAATGACTGCGCGTAGCTTAGTATGAAACGGCATCTGTCTTGTTTTGAACAAATTGGCATAAATTTGGCATTGGATAAGAATACAATTACAAACTTCTGACAGCCTTCAAATTAAATGAAACGTTACGGCACTTTCTACTTTTATTATAATTTGTTTTTTTAGGGATATAATTTATTTGCTTTTTAACGTTCTGTTAAAATTTTAAATACGATTTGATGATTAATTTCTTTTATTCTTGCGACTCTAAACTTATTCATTCATTGATTATAATTTTGCTATTTAAACTGATGTATTATTTCAAAATGATATTTCTCTATTTCTTATTAGTATCAAAGTTACCACATTTATGATAGCATAAAAATGTACGACAAACTTGACAGATATATAAGGTAACAAGTATATGACTAAACAGTGTTACAGATTTAGATTACCGAGCAGTATTGGAACATTTAAAAATACTAGTGATGCATCACTAGTATTCCCTTTAACCACTCCTGGTTAGCTTTAAATTCTTGGAATGGTTTACGACAGTATTCAAATGGCGGATTCAAACCCATGACTTTTTGAGTTAGAGGTCCGCGCCCTGCCATTAGGCTATTGTCACTTTTCGTTATTGTAAACATCGATGATATCCCCATGTATCGCATCTAACCCTTATTGCATAAGATCGGAGGATTTTAATGTTTTTTATTTGAACCCAAATAAGATAATTTGTATGTTACGTTACAATAAAACATAGAAATATATTGAACTTAAGAAAAAGGCATCAGCGATGATTGTGATATAACTTTCGCATAAATAAATATAATTTAAAAAAACCGAATTCATATAGCTTATAATTTGACTCATGAGAGTAATAAGTGCTGTATTGTAATGCAGCTGAAAATTCTCTTAATTTTAGATCACATCTCAGAAGACATCGACGTCGGCAATTTGATGCGTCGTTACACAAACGACGTCATTGCTTCTTGTGCATTCGGTTGTCAAGTAAATTCCTTAAAGGATAAGGAAAACGATTTTTACAAAATAGGCCAAGCGCTTTTTACAATGAATTCTACTTGGCAGAGATTTAAATTATTTTTTGTAATGCATATTCCGAAGGTTGCAAGGGTTAGTATTAATTTACTATTGGTAAGGTCTGAACAATATTGGAAGAATACAAATAATTAATGCACTTTATCGAATTTTTAGTTACTGGGAATGCAAGTCTTTACCCAAGAGTATTCAAGTTTTTTTAATAATTTAATAACAACTACAATGGAGCATAGGGAAAAATATAACATTGAGAGACCAGATATGATTCAGCTCCTTGTGCAAGCATCTAAGGGTAAAATTGTTTTTCTTTCTAAACGCTAATTATTCCCAATTATGGATGCATTTTTATTTAATCCAATCATAATGTATAACAATAATGTACACAGGTAATTTAAAACCAGAGAACGTCAATATAAAGGATGACATTGTTGTAGAAGCGGAAAAGCTTAAGCAGCATGGTGCGTTAAAACGTAATTTTAACTCACTTAACGATCAATGCTCACATAAAAAATTAAAAAAAATCTACCATGATTACTAAAGAAGGTTTTCTTGGATGTAAAAATGTCTTAAGACAGTATTGAAATACTATTTGAATTCAAATTCTAGCTTCTACTCCACTTAAATGCTTAGTGACAAGTATTAATTTAGCATAAATTAATTTCAAAATATTTTGTAGTTTAAGGTAACAAAGATTTTTCTAAACTTAATTTTACATCTTTTCAGAATGGACTCAAAGAGAATTGGCAAGTCAGCTGTTCATTTTCTTCTTAGGTGGATTTGAATCTTCTGCTACAGCTTTGACAATGTGCATCCATGAACTGGCAATAAATCCCGTGATACAGAAGAAACTGTACGAAGAAATCAAATCATTTAAAGAAAAAAATAGCAGCCTGGTGCATGAGAACATAAATGATTTGAAGTATTTAGACTGCGTCATAAATGGTCTCCGTTTGCCTTCATTTTACAAATTTATCTCTAATAGAAGTTGTTAAGACTTTGAGACCTTGATTGCTTAATTTCACTTCATTATAGTCAGTTTTTATGTGGACTATAGGCTTTTAATAAATGCGTCAAAATCATCTCCACCTAACAGGCTGATCAAATATATCAATAAGCGCATGGCTAAGAATGCATTACTGGTAATTTCAAAGAATTAATTTCATTAATTCGGTATCTTGGATGGTATTTCTGCCATCAGTCAATTATAACAGCCTTGACTATCAGTATTTGAAGAATAGTTCACATATTTGCCCATATATCCTATTTAAACACAATATTCTTACTAATTTTTTTTAAATAATATTAAATAAACATTTATCAATTTGTTATAAATCATATAAAACCGGAGACAAACATTCGCGTTACAAGTGGCGTGGTGGCGATTAAAATCTATTTGTCCTGCATTTGGAGAGGCATTTGTTTAGCATTTTGCTTGATAGACCCACGCTAGCAGTACATAGCTGCAGCACAAATAGCTCGGCTTGACCGGGATAGGACAATACTTTCACAGAATATCATCGTATAGCAGCAGATTAATGCTCCTATGTTTCGTATGGTTAATGTAGAGAACCGGAGACCTCTAAGTATTCCATCTTAGTCCTCAGGAATGACAACGCAACTGTATTTTAATTCTTAATCGATAAAAGACGAAAATACCTATGTGCCTAAAGCCTTAGATTAATGATAAGTGGTATCATTAATCTATGGCCATAGCATTCACTTTCCATCAGGTGGACTATGTGTTATTTGTCAAACTTATTCTATATGAAAAGGAAAATATGACGTGCTTCTAAAGGAAAGACAGAAAAGATACTATTATAATGATAAATGAGTTGGCCAATGCTTAAAGTACCAAGTCTCTTAATCACAGGTCCTGATTTCAACTACTGGAGGTATTACTTGTATAAATTAATAACTAACTGTTACTCGCCGATCTAATGAATGAAGCACATAGGATGGAAACTTAAAATATATAATGTATTTGTCATTAAATTGCACCTTGCTTTATTATTTAAAATACTCAGGTAAAATTGTTATTACCTGCTGCTTTCCATTACCAGTTCGGAAATCTTGAGTTCAGTACAGTATGTTACAATATTCTTATATTATGCTTTTAGAAACATTACGGAGGTGGGCGCCTGCTTTAATAATGGACAGAGTGTGCACAAAGGCTTACGAATTACCACAGCCTCGTGAAGGAGGAATACCATGCAAAGTAAGTTTCACTTTATAATCTACTTTTAAATAAAATTAATTAAATATTTTTCAAAAAATGTGATACCTACATTGAATTACGCTTAATTCTTTTACATACAGTTACGCCCTGGCGATGTCGTATATAATGTGGTAAATTCCATTCATATGGATCCGAAATACTACCCAGACCCAGAGGTGTTTGATCCTGATAGATTTTCAGATGAAAGGAGACATGAGATCAAACCCTTTACATTTATGCCGTTTGGCATCGGTCCGCGTGCTTGTATCGGTAAGTTAGAACAAATCTAATCGCAGAGAACCTAGTAAACCGTAAACGTAGACTCAATGTAGATAATTTTGCTTTTTAGACATTCGTTTTTCTTTTTCATCAGTTATTATTGGATATGGGTCTATGTCGTAGTAGAGAATATTAGTAGACGAAGTATTGCAGCTATGATTTTGCTACTCATCACCAGAATAGTTTACGTCTAGCGTGAAAGGGATAATTATACCGCCATCTGATGGAAGAGAATAGGAATTTTTTGTAGTAGCCTCTTACGTTATCTTGAGACAAAATTGGGTGATGGATTCTCACTCAGAGCAACAGAATACTAGAGAGAGGAAATTGCTGCGTTTAGGCTGACCGCTGTATGCCCGCTAGGTTGCCAGTTGTATGCCAGTTGCACCCTAAAGTAGGTAGATACGCGGAATACGTCGGAAAGAATATTTCGTTTATTTTCAAAATGCCGTTGTGTGCAATTGTAACATGCAAACATCGCAGTGAATCAATTAATTTTCACACTGGTGGGGTCAATTTTCATAAGCAAGTACAGAAAAAAGATTTCGATACTGGTTGACACAACAAGGGGGAGTGCCTTGAAACTGAGGAGATACGACAAAGGAGTTCTTTTTAGCGGTAAACGCGATAATATGTGTCTTCTGGGGATTGAATTGGACTAGATTTAGTTGCTCCCAGTCTGAAACTTTGTTCAACAAAGTCTCGACTTCAGACACAAGTTTGTTCCGGTACTCGGCGACGTTTTCCCGAGAAATATTGGCTCGGTCGGTGTATAAAGCATCACCAGTGCTGTCGTCGGCATAGCAAAGAATGTTACTGGTTTGCAACATATCATTGATGTGCAGAAGAAACAGCATTGGTGATAACACGCAGCCTTGTGGAGCACAAGCGTTAATGGGCTTGTAATCGGAGCATGCACCGTCTACTACGGGCTTGATGCTCCGATCTGTAAGAAAACTGGTAATCCAATTGCAAAATTTCTCGGGAAGCCCATAGGAAGGGAGCCTCGTAAGAAGCGCTTTGTGCCAAACCCGATCGAAGGCCTTCGCTTTGTCCAAACTAACAGCCAACGCCTCCCCCTTGGGCTCTTGACCGCATCCAGCGCAGTGCGGTTCGAGTCGTCGACGACGGAGTTCTTTCCGATTGGCTTCTTCGGAAACTCGCGACAAAACTCGCGATACCATCCACATCATCTGGGTGATTGGCGGTCCACCACTGTGCAATTTAGAAGATGTTTCCTTCCTCGCACAACTTCCCTGTGGAATCGATTACCACCAGCGATTTTTCCGGACCCATACGACTTAGGGACCTTCAAGAAAAGAGCATACTCCTTTTTGAAAGGCCGGCAACGCATTTGCAATTCCCCTGGTGTTGCATTTGTTCATGGGCGATGGTAGTCACTTACCATCAGGTTAGCCGCATGCTCGTTTGCTTCCTCTCCTAAAAAAAATTAAAAGTACGACTTTCATCATTATGAGCAGTTACCTATGCACAACCATCTTATTATGCTAATAAATATTGGAGAGATACATGAATAAGGTTGCATTGTCTTACTAAAAATGCCGTGCCCAAATTGTCCAAACGGCAAGTTCTAAATAAATATTTACATTTTACTAGACAGTAATTAACTGTTTTATAATTAGCTTACTTATGTCATTTGTTTTTATTTATTTAAGTTTTCTGTACTCCTCAACCATATATAAATATTTTTGTTAAGTTAAAAAAAATGATTCTATTTGATTATTTTTTTTGTTTGTTATAATTTATGTGCCAAATAAACTTATTTCTTTCTTTCTTTCTATATAGTAACATAAATGGTGTCGAATTAACTTATTTAATTTAGTTACAAGAAATAATTTCATTTCAAACTCATAAGTTGAGAAAGAGAGTGATTGTTTTAAGGAGGTAGTAAAATTATCGCTATTCTCTTATCGACGTAACACTGTCCCGCCACTATTCAGCAGAACGTTTAGCGTGTATCAAGCAATAGGAGCATAGGGATACAAATATGCTTGGTTTATATGTGTGCATGATTATTTTTTAATATTTATTTATTTATTAATTAATATAATATAATGCATTGTGTGCGTGAGTTTAACTTGCGACACTAAGTACAAACTAGGTGATTTATCCGAACACCCTCCTTTCGATATGTGTTGATTCTCATATAAAGCCGTGTCCACTACTATGCAGATTTCGTAAAGTATTTAGCAGATGTTGTGAATACATGGTATTGATTATATTGAAATGACTTTGTAATACAACGTGCACATAGCTTACACGCATTTTCGTGTATGCTATGTGTTGCCAGCCGTGAGGACTAAGATGAAATGCCTCATTTCCAGTAAAAGGGGTCTCCGGTTCTCTACACTCGCCATACGAAACACAGCAACATTAAGCTCGCTTTGACGCTGGTATTCTGTGAGAGCGTGGTCCTTCCCCGGTCGAGCCGATCCATTATGGGTAATATCAATGGAATCTTGTGATTACTATCAGGCATATGTAAACGTTACGCCTAAACATTTAAGTAGCTGGCGAGGATTGGCAACTAAGCTTAGAGGGGTCTGGTGATCGCATTTGCGTGTATGAGGCTTGGAAAAAACATCGGAGGAGTAGACACGTTGCTTGCCATAAGACGTTTAAAGCACGCTTTTGATTAATTATTTATCCCTAAAATTTAATAATATTTCAGGTTCCAGATTCGCGTTGTTAGAGTTGAAGGTGTTAATTTATCACCTCATTTTAAACTTTAAGATTTTAAAGTGCAATAAGACAACAGACCCCATCGTTCTAAAACCTCAAGAATTCAATATAAACGCCATAGGAGGGACATGGGTACGTCTAGAAAACAGATACTAGACAAGCTACGTATGTCTTTTTATTTGTGAAAATATATCTTTTTTTTTTCTTACAGAAGCTTTTCCCTGTTTTAATAATTGCTTTATTTAAGAGATATTTTCATTGATTTCAAATTATTGTTACTGTTATATTTTTATTCGTTAAAATATAATATAAGTCATAAATTATACATATGTATTGGATTATAACGATTTACGATTATTTTTAATCTATTCCTTGATTTGTAAATATTTTTAACTTTATAATATTATACTAAAAAAGGTAAATATTAAATACTATTAAATACAGTCAATTTTTGTCTCGTATATTTTTATGCTCAACATCTTATAGTAACTGGATAACCTTCTCTACCATGGAATCGGTCTACTAATTTTAAATATGAGGATATGAGAACTATTATTATTACAGGCCAATAGGTATTTTACTAGGTGGAGGGACTCCTTTTCTGCCTAGGATTCCGTCTTGGTAGTACCACTCTCTTACTTATTTCTGACGTCAAGCAATCTGTACTACCAGAATTTTTTGATGTGAAGGGTATAGACTTATATATTATAATATAACAGGATGTAAGGCATACAAATAAGACAGAATATTTCTCCAACTCCACCAAGTTGTTACTCAAACAGATTGCTAATACACGTATAAAAGAAAATTTTAATTTCCAAAAGGATTACCCCAAAGATACTTTACAATATTTCAAAAGCATTGATGCAAAGAAACGCGCAAATTTTTGGGAGATTTATGTATAACATTTACATTACATTACATACGAAATCATTACGATTTCTCTAACAGTTATTGTGGCTATAATAGATTTGATATTGGACCTTGCTAATTTTAGACCTATTTCTGTACTACCAACTCTCAGTAAAATTAGTGATGAAAAATTTTGGATCAAATATGAAAATTTTAAATTTCACAAACAGAACTAAAAAAGTCATTGTCAATGTAAAGGTTTACTTCGGGTCGGTAATATCAATGGGCGTTCCTCAGGGCTTGATTCTTTGCCCGTTCCTGTTCTTAATCTATATTAGTGACTTGCCTTATCTTGTAGGGAACAATCATAATATAGTATTATTTGCTTTATGTATGCTATTTAATTTTCACACTCAAACGGCATTCAATTAATTATGACGATATAAACTATTTTCTACCAAAATTAGTACATTGGTAATAATACTAAAATATTTGTTAAAATCTATAATTAATATAACTTTTTGAATTTACTTATATGAGGAAGTGTTGAGTCCGGTGGATATAACTGTTTTTCTTGGAATTTGTATTGACATGAAGCTCCTATGGGGCTCTCATATATCTAAATTAGCAAGTAGACTTAGTTTTGCAGTATATGCTGAAAAAATTAGAAGTCTCTAACAGGAACTTGGAAAATAAACTAATCTAACTTGGACCAGGTAGATTACTTTATTTTCGTTACTTTATAGCGTAATGTGTTATGGAATTTTGCTATGGCGTAACGCGACTGACATTCAAACCATATTTGTTTTGTAAAAGAGGGTCGTATGGGCATTTATAACTTATATTATTATATATTTTACATTGTAAAGAGAAAAATTCAAATAAATAAGGATATTAATTAACGTTAGCATCGCAATATATTGATGAAAATGTAATGTGTGTATATCAAAACATGAATTTGTTGATAAGAATTAAGTTGTTCATACTTTAAACACTAGAAACAAATATAAGCTGGTAATACCAGTTACTAATCGATTTCACAGAATTAGTAATTAATTTATGGGGCAATGTATATGCTTTAACAACAAGTTTAAATGTTTTATTAAAGAAAAATTGTACAAAAAGTGTTATTATAATATCAAGGAATACATGAATAAAATCACCCCTGGAAATGAGGTGATAGCCAACATGCTGGTTCTATTAAAATTCAAATAAAAATTGTACATAATTATTGTAGAGTGATAGTTTAAAAAGAACATAATTCCTCTGGGATTCTTGCTTGTAATATTATATATTGAACAAAAATTATTCTATTCTAATTTACTCTATCTTAGTACTCAGTATAGACAACGCACCTGTAGCCTCCGTTGTTTAAAAATTGCTGCAATAGACACTTACCATCTGGTGGTTATATGTTCATTTGTTACTTCACATTAAACTTTAGGAGTAAGTTTAAAAATATTTTGAGGATCTATGAAATCTGACATCACGCATTGAGACAGGAAAACAGACTCTTATCTACTTTGAAAACACTTGCGGAAATGAGTAGATAGTTAGTAGGCTGTTATTTTACTTAATTTTATGTACATTATAAAGTTTTCATTATTACTGATTCAAACCAATCATAATTTCAAGAATGAAGAATTTTTCAGACGAACTTATTATAAGTTATTAAATTTCCAAATCTTTTATAAGCCGCATGTTTTCTGATTCATTTTTAGAATAATTTTGACAAACGAGCACACAGTCTACCTGAAGGTAAGTGGATAATGTGGCCCATAGATATCTATCCTCGATAGTTAATATAGTTGCAGCCTGGATCTACCATATATAAACCTATGTTAGCATTTTCTATTGTAACTATGCAATACAAAAATGGTTACAATGTGGGGTGACTATCTAAAAATTCACAAATAAGTGCGATTGCTTCATGCACTTAAAACATTAATTGGTCCCTTATATTTTTCATAATCATTATCATCACAGCCCTTTATAAATCCACTACTAGGACGTCCCCAAATAATGCTACAAAGTGGTCTTGAACTATCTCCATGACTGGCCATTGCTTCCCTTCACGTTGTACCAGATGGTTACTCTATCAATTGCTAGGCCACCCAATACTTAACTACCCGATCGAGTCTGTTGCTTCTATGTTTATATGTTATTAGTGGTAATTATTTCCTTCAAAATACAAAGTTACCCTTTACACATTTTGCTAAAACGAATAACTTTTTTTATTATTTTCATCGCCGGATAAAAAATGTTTGGAAGGCAAAATAAAAAAGCAACTTGAAAATGTCGCGATTTGGCACAAGCCTTGTAGCATTAAATCAGTTTGGTTGTTAGTACGTAATTTGCGAGTTATTTTAATGTTAATTCATTGCCGCCAAGCGCCAGTAGCGACCGCAGGATATAAATCCACGTTGTCGGCGCTTTGTTGTGGGACCCATTATAATCTCCGATTTTCGCTAGGAAATATTTTGATAGCTATGAAAGTAAAATTTAAGTGAATGTTGTGTTGAATAAAACTGGTGTAACAAGAAATATTTAAACATAAATACACTCAAATTCATCTATCCATTACAGCCTAAAAAGTCCAGTGCTGAACATAAGTCTTCCTCATAGATTGCCTCATAGGGAATTTTGCCGTTACTACGCATGGCAGCAGCAGTTTTTTTGTAATTATGAGTTGTTATCACGAAGATGCTGCTGTGCATCTTCTGTTTCAGTTTCCCTCTGTCGGCTCTTATTTCCATATCATAATGTCTTATGGGATTTTGCTACGGGGAAATGCGGCTGATTCAGAAACTATTTTTGTTTTAGAGAAGAGGGCCATTAGAGCTATTTACAATCTAAAACCGAGAGAGTCAAGAGATAAATTTAAAGAAATAAATATACTCGTATTAACTTTGGCCTCTCAGTATATTTACGAAAAATTAATGTATGTTCACAAAAACAAAGATAGTTTTGTAAAAAAAGTGATATACATTCTGTAAACACTAGGAACAAACACAAGCTAGTGATGCCAGTTTCTCGACTCCACAGAGTCAGTAATTCATTCTTGGGGTAATGTATACGCTATTACAACAAGGTTCCGGAAAGTGTTCAGGTTCTCTCTATTACCAAGTTTAAATGTTTTATTAAACTGAAACTATATAAAAAGGATTGTTATAGTATAAATGAATACATGGTTGATTGGGAATGAGGTGGTCGCTTCCAAGCAGTTTCTAAAATAAATTTTGTAAATAGTTTGTAATCATTTATATTGCAAAATTTATTTAAAAAAATAAGTCCCGCTGGGTTTCTTGCTGGTTCTTCCCAGGACAGAGGGTTTTTTTTTCGAACCAGTGGTAAAGTAAAAAATGACTTTCAATAAGAATTACACATGTAATGTACATTGAATAAAAAATATTCTATTCTATTCTTAAGACACCTACGGGACGATAAAGGATAGTGGATATTCTTACACCACCACTACACGATTTATATGTATGACTGATGTAAATTATTCAGAACTGAGACGGGGATGATCGTGAAAGCTGCAAATCGTTTCGTGTTGGCCAATCCGTCTACCAAGCGTAGCAAATGTGTCAAATCCTACTAAAAATAAGAATAAAATAATTTATATAAACAGTTTTTCATGTCAGTGCTAAGAATTAAAATCCCTATATCAAGAGTAGTTTTGCAGAAATTCTATATTATTATCTTTAGTTTTTGAAGTCAGTTCTTACATTTAATTAAAATTTTAACTGTTTACCTTTTGAATGGCCTTCGGAATATCACAAGTTCAAATTAAGGACTAGGATGTCATCTATATTGTTATATTAAAAATTTAATTCCGCTTAAAATCTTATGTTTACACAACATTTTTGTATACAATATTTATTACCATAATAAAAAACTACAACTAAAAACTTAAATTACTATACAGTACTACTCCTCGCGGTATAGTGCCAAGAATGCTGGCTGCTTCGCTTGTGGGCGAGAAAAGAACCAGCCCTCTAATCACCAGCAACGCAGACCAGTTGCGGATATAATTATTTTATTAACGTCACTCTTCCAATCAGGTATCCCGCTAGTCTCTAAAAAGCACAAGGCTCTAAAATCAAGGGAACATTTATAGGTCAAAAGCTCTTCGAAAAACAACGTACAAAGAACCGTGGAAGAACAACTTACCAACACTTTTCTTACATGAAAGTCCGTGTAGCCTAAACTCTTCGACGCTGCTACCACTACGGCACTGATGAGGTTGACAGACATTTCATTCTATATTTTTCCACCCCTAGTATTTTTTCTTCAAACTT